ATTAATTTCATTTATAAAAGTCCCATAAGTTTTAGGCCTACATACGTGCAACGAGATTTCTACATATGTACATGAATATTAAAAGCGCAATGTTTTCAATTAATTTATACATTCATTTTTAACATGAAAAACCTTAATATATTTTAAAAAATAAATAATTAAGCATGAAAGGTAATGAAGTTTTGAAAACTTTAGGATTAAGTTACGCTTTTCACGACCATGTGCATTTTAAACTAAAGTTTATGGACTTGGATGTGATTTTGTTTTTAGACTCTTGTTTCTAAAAAAAACAAATCGTCTATGGGAATAAGAGACTATTTGAATTTTAAATTAATAAACTAGGAGAAGAAATAATGTACATGAAGAGAAATAGAATGTAGATTGCAGGGAATGTAAAACCCTGGCTCAAAAATAGGTAAATTAGAGTTAAATAAATGGAAATTTTAAATTGAAAATGATAATATAGAAAGGAAATTTTTTATGAATTGGGATAAAACCCTTAGTGCTTTAACTTAAATTCCAAATGAAATGAATAATTAAAAATTGGCACTCAAAATTTCAATTAGTGATAAATTAATTACCTAAATCTCGATAAGGTAAAATAAATTTTGTAAATTATATTAAAAATAAGTCTCAAAAATATTTTTTAATTCTAAATAAATTAATAAATAGTTTATATGCGAGTCATATTAATCGTTAATATAAGCCCCACGAAAATAATCTTGTAGTTTTTAAACTGAAAATTAATAAAGATTTGAGAACTTGTAATTATTTGTGAAATAATAGATGTATGTATTTGAAAAATTGTAATGAGATGAACTAAAGCTAGATTATGATTTCACGAGTGGTTATGTTGTATTAATGATGATTAATGCTTACCATGGTGAAAAAAGAATTCATTAGAGGATAATGAAAAGTGTTAGATTGAAATCTGATGTAGCCTTGACGTGTTTGTAGAAATTCATTAGACGATAGTTGTTAAACGTTAGAAATTACAATATATATATATATATAATTGATAATGTTAAGCACTGCAGTTGAAAAGTATTTTTAAAAAAACTAAAAATTTTTATTTTAAATTAATATATTTTTAATATTTTTAAATTATTTGGATATAATAATATCAAAAATAATTTTTAAAACATAAACAAATATTATTTTAATATAAAAACCACTAAAATTCTATCCGTAAAATCCATCCAATTACTTTGAAGAGGCTAATTGGATAATGGAAAACAAATTAAAGGAACACTTATACTGAATACATTGATGCATGAATTTGTGTCTTCTTGTCTCATCATAATCCGTTTACTACTTTACCAAGTTGATAATTTGTTGGGTATACTTTGGTTATAGTTTTCAGATTAAGGGTATAATTTTTTATTTTTTATTCACTCAAAAAATTACTAAACTCACAAGGAATATCTTCTTCTTCTTTTTTAACATAAATTGGAACTTTAAGAATTATGAAAAGTTTAATGTGGAGGTTAAGGTTAAGCAAAGCCCTGTTCTTTAAAAAAAATAACTCGTGGTTGATTGGATAAAAACAAAAATCAATGCGCTGTCAAACGCGTTTTCTAGCATCAGATTTCCCATATCGTTTTTTTTGTGAATTAAAAATATAATGTGCTTCTTTAATAAAATAAATAAAAAATTATATATATTAATAAATATTAAAAAAATTATTAAAACTAAATAAAAATTAAGTTATGAAGCTAAAAGATTGAGTTAATTATATGAAAAGTATTATTATTATTTTTAATCCAAGCCAAAACCATTATAGAGAGATGTAAAAATAGAACATGTGATAAAAAGTAATGCCATAAAATTTTATGACAAAAAAAAGATCGAACAATATTTAGTTAAACAAAATAAAACAATATAGCTATCAAATAAAATAAAATAAAATTATTATGAAAGGTTGTTTAAAAAGATCATTTACTTGTATATTAAATTGTATATTAAAGAGTAGATGGTACATTCTTTTACCTTTATTTTTTAAATAATATAAATGATGCATTATCTACTAATCTAATTTTCAATTATTGAAGTTTTGCTGGACAGTATGGCCATGGATTTATTTTTTTAAAAAAATATTTTCAATTTATTATTAATAAAAAATATATAAAACATTTTAAACACATTAATAAACTTATTAATAGCTTCAAATAGCTCAAAAACTTAAAATTAATATGAAATGAAAAAAATTTACCATCTCAATGATGAGATAAAAAACGAAACATTGAAATGAGATTTTCCTTATAAAATAAATTTGTTAACACTAAAATCAATCTTTTTCATAAACAAAATTAATGTTAATCAAAATTTTTTTTCTTTACCATTAGAATTCAACAGTTCTTTCTTTTTTCTCTTGAACTATGAATTAAAAAATAAAAAAAATAAATTTTTATATTAAAATTAAAATTTTAAAATATTAAGGGATAAAAAATATTATTTAAAAAGTAGGACGATCAAAGTAAACTTTTCATCTAAATTTTTATATCACCACTTATTTTCTCTGCCTTTTTTACTTTGGTTGTCTAACTTTAAATCATGTAATTTCTTAACAAATTTACTTGAATAGACCATCAATTAAGTCATAGAAAGAAAAAATTGAAAAAAATGTTGAAATGAATGGAAAACAAGAGTATCGTGGTAATCTACAATATTTGTGTGAACAGTAGCATAAGCTACAATGATTTATAAGCTACAATGATTTTCTCACGTCTTTTAATATTTTATATAATATTAAAAGTATATCAACAAATTTAACGAGATAAATTTATTAATAAGATAATAAATTATTTATTATTTTATTTATTATATTAGCACGTGACTTGTGTTACATCCCGAGTTGCACTATTTTTTTTAATGAAAAAAAAAGAATGTCCATCTAGGTTTCGTTGCCTTACCTATCAAAACTTTTTAGAAGAAAAACGAGTGTTTATCCAAATCAAAATTATTTTTAACAAAAAAAAATAAACCACCATCCCAAGATTAAAAAATGTTTTATTTTTTAAAATATAAAGATATCGATATATTAAATTGACTTGTATTTTATGACCTAACTCATCAAAGGAATATTAAAGTAAAAAAAACCAAAATTTAAAGATAATTTTTTTTTTAATATTGAGATAATGAATTATTAGATTAATCTGGGTTTCATTATTTAACCTATCAAAGTCGTGAATTGAAGCTAAGATTCCAACATGTTTTATTTTAATATATAATACGTGAATCTGGTAATGAACTCAACTTTGTGTAATTGCATTATTCTTTTTAAAACTATTTTTTTTATTTAATTATACTAAAAAAACTCATAATTGTCAAATCAAAATAAATAAAATATTAAAAACAACATGGAGAAAATATCAGAAAGAAAAATAAATAAAGATGGAAAAAATCAAATGAAAAACAACACAAAAAAATATCAAGGGGTAGCTCATGTATCTAGGCCTATTATTTCTTTTTTATTTTTATTTCAGCTCCACCTAGTAAAACATTTAACAGGCTACACATTTTCTATTGTCACAATTTCCACCTATAATTAGTGGATGGAAAATCAGACAATTGTCCCTTAGGGTTAAAACCCCCTTTTTTTCTAGCTCAAAACAATTATAAAACATTTGAAGGACTTGGAAAACCTCATTTTTAGTATTAAATCACCATTTAATTGCTTAAAAATTTCAAACTTCCACGTATGTTTTTGGCCAAGATAAATTGAAAAAAAAACCTAAATAAAATGTCCCTAAATAAATTAAACTCATTGATATCAAGAATAATGAGTTTCATTGCTAAAAAATAATTGTTTTGTCAACTTTCTTTCTTATTATTGTAATTCAGCTACTCTCTCTAATCTCTTAAGCTCAAGGACCAAAATAAAATAAAATAAAATTAAGTTTTGGATCTAAAATTATAATTTTGAAGTTATAATAACTAAAAATGATTTTTTTTAACAAAAAAGGGCACGAAGGCGGTAATAATATTTTTTTAAAAGGGACTTCAAATATTTCATGATATATAATGTTAGTCCTCTCATTTTTAATCCTTCTTAAACAATAAAATTGGATTATTTTTTTATGAAACCAAGTACAAAAAAATAGAAAGATGAGATTTTATGATCAATATTACTATATAAAAATTAGATCAAAATAAATTATTAACTTCAAATCCTAATTAACCTAACATTAAAGGATTTAATTGAAAAAGAAAAAACAATGGCTATAAAAAGAAAAAAAGGGCTACATTTGACATTTTTTTATAAGAATAAAAGGAAAGCTATTTTTTATTTTCTTTCATTTTGGTCTCCTCGCTTTTAATTCCTTTAAAAAAACCAAATATAATTTTTTATTGTTAAACCAAGCACTAATTTAATGACGGGTTACCTTGTGAGAGACTTGATAATCATATAAAAGATAAATACAAACCAATTTTCAATCCCAATCAATATAATATTAAAAAATTAAATTAAAAATATCAACCATGAAAGAAAAAAAATAATTGCAATCCACCATTAATTATCTAACCATTCATAATGGATTATTTAGTTCTTTTATTTTTTTTTAATTTTAATGTTTACATATGTTAATATATATTAATATGATAAGTAATATTTAAATCAGTTAATTATCATATAGATATATTTTTTTAAAAGAACTTTGATACTTTACTTATATAATTTTTTTCATGTATTTTTTTTTAAATTTTATTTGAAAACAAATTTACATGTTTTTTTTTCTCACATTGAAAATGCTTTTTCTAAAGTCTCAATTTATTTTGTATGTGTTTTGTATTGTAATGTATGATGATTTTTAGTTAACAATATATGAAAATAATATATATTTTTTATTTTTAAAATCAACTCATCATAATTACTATAAAAGCACCTAAAAATCATTACTTTTTAAAAATAGAAGATAATTTAAAAAACGTTTTGAAAAAACATATTATAACGCAAATAGGCGTAACCCTCTTTTACAAGGGCAACGTACGTCCAAAAAAATGAAGAAAAGATTAAGAAAAGAAAACTCAATTGCCATGTCCATCTCTTTCTGCTTCCCTACCTCCTTATCTCCCTCATCCTCTCTCTTACTAAATTCACAAGATGCAGAGATCATCGAAAAGTTCCAGAGTGACTGAAGAGCTGTTCAATCACGCAAGCACAGACACAGACCAACAAGAACTTCCCACGTATGATCCACTTTCTCACATTGGAAAGAAGGAAAAGTCTCGTCTCAGATCTGCTGAGTATGCAATCCATGTCATCCCTCTTGTTCTTGTTCTCTGTGCCATCATCCTCTGGTTCTTCTCAAACTCCCCAGGTTCTCAAGTCCTCTCTTCTTTCTATTTTGTCACCCTCCCTTTTGTTTATTTTCTGTTTATTTTCTCAAACAATACAGTGACTGATTGATTGCGTTATTTACAGCTTTATTCTTTAATCAATCTAACCATTTTTATTCAATTCATGTACTTACCTGTACAGTGATGCTATCTTGTTAACTAATCAGCTTAAGGGTTGCTGTTAGACTGAGAATGGTAGCAAATCTATAAAACGAACTGTTTTAGGAATACACTAGTTTTTTTAATTCTAATCCATCGCCGCCGCTGCTCGGGTATTTTTTTTTTAAATAAATAAGTAAAATTTTCAAATGTGTTTTTTTTACAATAAAAATTCAAATTATAAATAAAAAATCTATACATACATTTAATTAAATAAATCGCAAATTATTTGTGTTAATACAATTTCATCTTTTTGTTGGTTGATGAGATTATATGGAAGAAGATTTGTCGAACAATAGTTGCTTTCACTTTTTGGATTACAGAATTTTACATTATTTTTTTTTAAATTTCTTTCATTTGCTTTTTGATTCTTAGTCAATCCTGGTGTTTATACTAACTTCCCAGTGACCCTTTTGCCTGTTTTTATCCTCTGTTCTGACCTGGGCTTTCAAAAATCAGGTTTCTGATTTCTCAATGCTACGGAGGTCACACTATCTTGTATCACAGATTTGTATGTGGAAATTGTTTTCCTTCTCTTTCCTTTTGTTTTGTTAGCTAACCCATTTGTTATTTTTTTCCTAATCTTTTGTCATACTGAATAATTACGTGATTACTAGAATCCCATGCATTGAACGGTACATAATTTCTCTTATCCGCAGATGAGCAGTGTAGTGACTGTAAATTTTTAAACTGCTGCAGAAAAACCATTATATTGATTAAAGCATGCGCATGTTATGCAATTATTTTTTAATTAGATCATTTTCTGATGACGCAGTTTAATTGTTTTTTTGGCAGAGCCAAGGATTTGAGAATCGATAACGTCGGCAATGGTGTTAATTCATGGAACAGGTTGCTGGCTGGCTTTCCTCTTGGCCAAAAGAAGAAAAGAAGCGAAGGGCACTCCAAACAATCTTCCAAAGGGCGGGGATTGGAGCCTATTGCCGGCGACAATTATGGAGGAAGGTGGTATCAAGGCAGATTACTCCCAAGCAAATCCACCGGACTCCTAGCCAACGATCATGATGATTCTTACCAGGACTGGTACCTCTGATCACCATAATTTGTGCTGCAGAATTCTAGCCAACAGACTTGTATTCTTCTATATTTAGCTCACTGTAATTCCTGCATTACTGTATACAATCTCTATAAATTAGATACCATATTACAGTAATAAGATGAGGAGAATTTCCATTGAAACACTCTCTCTGCGACTTCTATATGGTATCAGAGCTCCACCACTCCAACGAGACCACAATCCTCTTATTCGACACGTCTTCCTCTCAACATCCAAACAATCAACCTTCCTCTCCAATCGAAATACCACTGGTTGCAAATTAAAGAGAAACTAACTCCCTCCAACTTTCCATTGTGGCGTGCCCAATTCAAATCTCTTCTTATGGGGTACGACCTGCTGGATTATGTCACTGAATGTTTGGTGTATCCATCCCTTGATGACACCCACATCTGCCCTCAACAAGTTAATCTTCAGTGCCATTCTTGCCTAACACTTCCTTTTGTTTTATTTTTTTTTATGGAATTGACCCTAAATTAACTTCCTAATAAAAAAAAAATTGTGAAAAGCTTAAAACACCCCTTGAACTTAAATTATTATTATTTTATTTTAAGGATATTTTTGTATTTTCTTTATGTGTTTTAATTGTTTATTATTTTTTATATTTGTGCAAATATCAAAGCATCCCCCGCTTAAATTATTATAGCAAAAAAATTACCGTAAAAATATAAAAAAATCTCGACACAGGTTTGGTTTTTTTTTTTTTCCTTAAAAGTTATTTGAATCATTTTACTATATAATTAAAATAAAAAAATATTTACTTATCTCTACTGATAAACAAATAAACCATGTTGAAAGGCTTTAATTTCTTTAAAAGTTTTTGTTAAGTTTTCTAGGTGAAGGAGCAAAAACACCATTACATTATTTTAACCAAAAAAATAAAGTGTCTAGGGTTGAAGTAAAAAAATAAAAATAAAATTACAGGGTATCAACAATCAATCTCATAATTAAGGAGGCTTAATGGCGCATTTGGTTTCCTTACCTGCAATATTTTCTCAGCTTGGTCCTCTTATAATCTGTTTTGCTATTGTCATCCTCATAATACCTAATCTTGTCATTGTTAGGTCTTAAATCATGTTGTTAGTTTTTCTAGGTATTACATGTCATTTAAACATTAAAAATAACTTGAACTGAAAATATTAGTAAACAATTTAGCATGGCAATTTGAAAATTCTATTAGCAGGGGACCAAATTCAAGAAAATATTTTTAATTGTGGACATTGATTAACGTCGAAGTCTGAAAATCATGGAGTGGCCACAGCGACATTTCTGTTGGTGGATACCAGGAAAGACTACATTTTGCAATGATAACCATCAGAGCCTTCAAAATGCCTAAATTGTCCTTATGGGATAAGTTCTGTCATTAACTTTTCTGTAGAACGGGTGATTGAACTTTTACTCGTGTAACTTGTTAACACCTACTTTTCCTATTAGAAGTCATTTGTCCTTGAAGCTTGCGAGGAGTTCTTCTCGAAAATGAGGGAGCTAGACATAAGATGGGCAAACACCATTACCTTACTAACTTATCAGAAAAAAAGGGGAAAAATACACAAGAAAATTCTTTGCATAGCTATATATTAGGATGACACTAAATGCTGTAAACATTATGAACTCAAAGTGACAATTCATCTGTAAAATGAAGTGTATAAAGGTCTCTATACAATGGAAAGAGAGATTTTGCTGGCAGCTATGATGGTGAATCCTCCCTGTTGTTCTTTATTGTATCATTGTTGCTTTGGGACTTCAGAAGTTTGTCTTTTTCGCGAAGGTTCACATTCAAAGTTTGTGTGTTCCAAAATTGGACCAAGCCTAACTAGCTTAGGTATGACTACATTGTTCCTAACAGAACAGACAACCGGGTTCTCCCACTGCAAAAGAGACCCCACAAGATTGGCTCGTACGGTTAAAGGAAAGACACGAGGCCATCTTTCGATTCCATATGACTTCATAGCATCCTCTACAGATGTGGGTCCAGAGTTGATTGCATTTGCAAGCTTTCTTGCTAGAATCACTGCATCCTCCAATGCACAACAAGCACCTTGCCCCAGATTAGGAGTCATTGGGTGCCAAGCATCTCCAACCAACACAGTCGTTCCGGTTGATGGGGGAGGGCTTATGGCTGGCCACAGCCAACGATCCACCAGAGGAGTTTTACTGATTGTTTCATCTGGGGTTAGATCTATTAAGTTCAGTAGCTCAGATGGCCAGTTCTTGACCAGTTCTTTAGCCTGTTTCTTCAACACTGATGGGTCAGTTGTCTTTGGACCTAAGTATTGTTGAAAAATGTCAAATCATATACGAAAAGAAGCTACGTTTCATGAATATGCATTATGCTGTTCTTAAAGTGATATGTAGAACCAGAAACCCCATGAACACATCATCTAAATGACATCAGTGAAGAGTTCAGAAAAAAGAACCATTGGTAGAAGGCACTTTGATTGCACTAACCAAAAGCGTGCTTTATTTTCTAGGGCTAAAAATCATGTTTCTATCTCAACTTACCAACTTCCTTAGGTGAAGAATCAGCATTTCATTGAATTAGAAGCAGATCACCAGGATTAGGATCACTGACCTGGAGATGGGCTGTTGAAGCAGATAAACCAGTACACTTTTGTAGGAGAAACTGGAACATATCCAGCACGCAATCCCCTCCCGTAGACATAATTCACTCGTGGTTCAAACGGCTGCCCATTGGCATAAAATCCAAGTCCTCGGAATGCACAGTGCCCCACATACCTAGGCTCGGAGAACCCCATCCACTTTGCAACTGGAGACCGAATGCCATCACAGCCAATTACAATCTGTTGAAAGGTATAGAGTAAGCACAGATTAGATAATAGAAAGACTGACATATGTTGTAAACTGGTGTTTATGTATTTTCTATATATAACTTTCTCCTGCATTTATGTCGAAATGATTATAGCTCATGAAACGCTCATCTAAGCACAGTAATGGAATTGATCATTCGGTACAGAGCTCATTTCAATTCTGGTGAAATCGCAACTTGTTTCTTATTATTTGTAAATGTAGAGGCAGACGGGAAGCATGATCACTTGACAAGGCCAATAAGTCTTAGTTAGGTCAGGACTAAGCTCTCAGCTTCGCATAGAGTAAATTTAACAAGATATTGAAATTGATTAACCTTTGCAAGTAGCCTAGTGCCGTCCACAAGTTCCAGAAGCATTTTCCCATTTTCTCTTCTCTCCATCCTTGCCAGCCCTGAAGAGAACTGAACTGCTGCTGATGGCAGCTTAATGGCAAGAGTCTCTAGAAGTATTTTCCTCTCTACCGCTCGAACTTCTTGGCTGTGCGATAATGTTATGAAAAAACCCAAAAATTACTTCCTTTTTGAGACTAAAAGAAAAGGGGAAGTCCATGTTTTTGAAAAAACCAATACCTCTCATCTTCATCTTTGAACGTGAAGGAACGCAGTTCCCTTCCATCGTCTGACTTCACCACCATCCTGTAGAGCTAAGAACAAGTTCAGAAGAGAATAACAAAGGCATAGAAGAAGTTTTCGATGTTGGGTAAATTTCTTGTCAGGAATTGGCTTATTTCTTCTTTGGTAGAAAAAGGGAGGATATACAGTAAGCTCGAAACCCAACCCTTCAAGGCAGACCATAAATTACCTGCCTCAAAGTGCAAAAACCATTTCCGCAAAATAGCAAGGATAACAGAACAAACCTAACTATATGTACTTGAGTTTGCATCCAGGAAATTAAACACCAAATGACCCATTTTGTTAGGAAACATGTATCCTGAAGGATCGTCCTCGGCCATCGTGGTATTTGCAAAGGACTGTGGCATATTGTTTTTCATGTATGGGGTTTTGTTTTTGTTTTGCTCAGCAACTTAGACAAATCCAAATTACAAGTCCGATTTACTAATATATATCTAATTGAATACACATAGGAGAATTTACCGATCAGTAAATAACAGAGAATGCAACAATCGAGTCCTTCAAGCAATTTCTAACAGTTTGTGGATTAACAACAGAAATAATGATGGTCAACTAGCATGTATAATTCGAACCAGAAATGGAAGATATACCCTTGAATTTCAAGAAATTGGCTCCTAAGGTCACTTCCAACCCCAATGGCATCCAGTACCCTCCATCCATTCTTGAAAAGGGTAAGTGAGGTCCCACCAGTTCTTAGTGATTCTGCTTGCTCAAGCACCAACGACCGAACTCCGAGCCTATATAGTAGTCTCAAATTAATTAGCTAGTCAATTAGCAGCCATTTAAACCATTCACCTTCTATTTCTTTTTAAACACTAAAATAATAAAATCAATTAGTTCAGAACATCCTTGTGTGTTATTCTACAGTTTGGATGATGATATAACCTTTGTAGGGACACTGCAGTGGCAAGTCCAGCAATCCCAGCACCCACAATGACTATGTCTTCTTCACTAACATCATCGGTACTTATTTTAGCTTCAATAACTGACAAAGAGTTGTTTTTCTTATTTCTTGCTCGGACAAGAAGCCAGGATTTTCTTCTTGAAAACGGTCTAGCTCTGTGAGGGGAACGGTGCAAAGAAGATGCAGATGAGATATGAGAGTTGAGAGAGAGAAGAGAGGGGGAAGCTATAGCCATGGATGGACGTTTTTAAGAGAAACAAGTGGTGGAGGAGAAATAGAGTTTACCCGGGAAAAAAGATATTTTTTATTTGGATTTAGAGGCCTTTTTAAGCTATGGCTATAAAGTGAGCCAAGTGGGCTTATATGGGTCTGCTAGCAAAGAAGTGCAACATATCTCTACTTCCTCTTGATTTTGGGCTGCTTGTACATAAAAAGTCAACTTGACTTGTATGTATTCAGTTTTCTAGAGGAAAATAATTAATAGCACGTTTGATGAGATATGATATAATGTAATTAATTATGTAATGCAATTCAGAATATAATTTAATGAATTGGGTCGATGGATTAAATTATTTTTTTAATAATTATTTTTTTATTTTTATTTTTATGATAAGAAAATTCTTACCATTAAATTATATCTGATTACTCTTAATCATGGAATGACTCATTATATATATATATATATATATATAAAATGAGTCATCACAGTCATAATTTTTTATTATATTACAATTTTAAGAATTACATAATTAAACACAAAA